ATCGACAAATTTTGTTCAGCGATGAGGCTCATTTCTGGTTGAATGGCTTCGTAAATAAGCAAAATTGCCGCATTTGGAGTGAAGAGCAACCAGAAGCCGTTCAAGAACTGCCCATGCATCCCGAAAAATGCACTGTTTGGTGTGGTTTGTACGCTGGTGGAATCATTGGACCGTATTTTTTCAAAGATGCTGTTGGACGCAACGTTACGGTGAATGGCGATCGCTATCGTTCGATGCTAACAAACTTTTTGTTGCCAAAAATGGAAGAACTGAACTTGGTTGACATGTGGTTTCAACAAGATGGCGCTACATGCCACACAGCTCGCGATTCTATGGCCATTTTGAGGGAAAACTTCGGAGAACAATTCATCTCAAGAAATGGACCGGTAAGTTGGCCACCAAGATCATGCGATTTGACGCCTTTAGACTATTTTTTGTGGGGCTACGTCAAGTCTAAAGTCTACAGAAATAAGCCAGCAACTATTCCAGCTTTGGAAGACAACATTTCCGAAGAAATTCGGGCTATTCCGGCCGAAATGCTCGAAAAAGTTGCCCAAAATTGGACTTTCCGAATGGACCACCTAAGACGCAGCCGCGGTCAACATTTAAATGAAATTATCTTCAAAAAGTAAATGTCATGGACCAATCTAACGTTTCAAATAAAGAACCGATGAGATTTTGCAAATTTTATGCGTTTTTTTTAAAAAAAAAGTTATCAAGCTCTTAAAAAATCACCCGTTATTATAATGAGTCCACAGAAGACTTATGTACTTACCGCCAGTTTCATGTGAAATACGTGCCAACCTATCCGCAGTTTCTAAGGATAGCATATTTTGATTGTCCAGGAAGCTCATGATATTTTATAAAAGAGTATAATTAATCATTGAGTTTTAGCGTCGTAGAAAAAGTGCGCAAAATAATTGTAAAAGGAAGCAATATACAGCTTAATATTTACATATTTTTACATACCGCAATGACTAATACTTCTATTGTATGCAACTACATGTTATGTGAGTGACTTCATTGAATAGCTGTGTATTTAATTAATAGGATGCGCGGCTACATAATCTTTCAATTGATCTCTCAACATGAAAGCACTTCTTGTAGCGTTGTTTGACATTAATCGACCAGTTCCTCGTAGGGTTGTTGAGATTTCTTGGCGCCATAATCCATTTAATACATTGTCTCCTTCATATCGATCAACATATTCAGGTGGGCAATAACTGCCATCGTTTAGCTTTAAAAAATTATGTAGCAGCACTGTTGCTTTCACGATGCTCTCCGCGCTTGGTGGTTGCATTTGCAATGGGGATAGCAAAATCCTCCATCGTGCTGTCATAATTCCGAAGGTGTTTTCAATAACACGCCGAGCTCTTGAAAGGCGGTAATTAAAATTTTCACGATCGGGTGGCAGATGCAATCCTGAAATTAAAAAAGGCTTATTTGTATGTACATACATATGCACATAGTATAGATGCAAATAATGGTTGAGTTGCAAGTTATATCAATGCAAAGCATCAGACTCTTTTATTTCCAAACATTAAATGCAACTTTCAACATAACCATTTTCTATGCAGTACATTTTCCGTATACTAACCAGGATATGGCCGCATTAAATTTTTTTTAAAGGAAATGCTGCATCTCCAACGAAATAATGAGGAAACTTAATATTGCTGTCTGGTAAAAAGTCATGCTCAGGCAGGTCTAGTTGATCATGGAACAGCCTTTGCCCAAATCCAGAATTCCAAAGCACACCGCCGTCGCTTTGCGAACCGTACGCACCAATATCGATACAAGTAAATGTGTAATTCGCATCGCAACATGCTAATAATACGATGGAGTAGGTACCCTTGTAATTGTAAAATAGAGATCCGGAGTTGGAAGGACATTTTAAAGTGATGTGCTTTCCGTCGATTGCGCCCACACATTTCGCGTAATTTCAAATAGTGTTGATGTCATGGGATATACGTTTCCACTCGTGCCTTTTTGGCACAGACAAATATACACTGTCAAGTTCACTCCAAAGCGCTTCGCAGGTTTCCAAAATTATTTTATTGACTGTGGAGCGACCCATTTTATACGCTGTAGCGTACAAATGCTGAGTTCCCCCGTGTGCTAGGAAACTATGAATGTAATGCACAAAAATTAGTATGAAATTTTCTTTAGAAATATTTACTTACTTCAATGTTAAGAATAGTCTCATTTCTGCAGAAATTGACGGCCTGTTTGAATACTTTATGAGGCGTTCCTTCACGAGCCCAAAGAGCAAATCAAACACCTCCTTAGTCATCCTCACCGTAGTTTTGAACTGCTCCGGGTCATTTTTGTACATTTCGTCAAAACTGGTTACAAATAGTCCATCAATGTCGCGACTTAAGTAAAGAGGTCTTACCCACTCCCGCCGCCGAGAATTAATTTTCTTCAAACACTCGCGAGCCTCGTACATAATTAGCACTATTAATATTATTTCGATAAAAGATGACATTATTTTTTTAAAAACGCTCGAGGATACACAAATATTTTCACTGGGGAAAAAAAACAAATGTCTGTTTGATGATTTAAATAATT